GCGGGACCCAAACCCAGCGCACGCGAAGTTTTACGCCTTCTCACTTTAGCTCGCTCCCAAACGGGTGTTTGGTTGCTACCCAGAGGATACGTGGATATAAATATCCGGACGTTGTGAGCTGCGATTTGAACCGTACGCACAAGAATCGCTTCTGGCCACTCCCAGGTGAATGGCAGTCAAAAGTTTTCCACTTCTGCGCACGGAACCATCCTCCCCTCATTTGGAGTTATTATGGAAAAATTTTGTGATTTTTGTTACTATTTTTTTACTAATTTTGTGTAATAATATGGATTGCACTTTAACCGATAAAAATCAAGGATTCAAGTTATATACAAGACTAAATTTCGAACTTTTATCTCTATTTTTTATAAGCAACAATGTGCAGCTGAAAATTTCCGTTGGTATACAAAAAAATTTTACTTTCTGTTTTTTTTTTTATATAACAATTGCCATTTATAGAAGCTGCCGTAGATTTTTTAAATTTTTTTTTTATATACCTGTCCATTTTTTTCTTTTTATCGAAATAATCATTTAAAATATTTAGGCAATCAAAAGCTCCTCATGATTCCAGTAAAATGAGTATTGAACGAAGCACGATATGTTCGACTTTTATCGATATACATGTATATGTATGTATGTACATAAAATGTGTTCGGTAAGAAATACAATAAAGTAGACTCCATTTTTGGAAAAAATGTATAATATAAAGATAGCTACTAGAAAAATAAGATGGCAACGATAAATTATATTTTTTTTCAAACAAAGTAATTTAACAAAAATCTACCAAAGTCATAGAAATTTACCAACAAAAATTTAATAATAAAGGGTATAGAATAACACTTAGAAAAAGACCAATACAAGAATGAAAGTAAAGGTGAGTACGTACATAGATAAAGAAAAGGATAAAGGCAAACGTAAAAATAAAAACAAAAACAAAGATGCGTAAGATAAAGGTAAAAATGAACACCAAGGTGAATTTAAACACTTTACTTATATATATATAAGGGCAAAGGTGAAGGGGAATATGTAGATGAAGAAAATGATAAACATAAAAGTAAATACAAAGAGGAGGATGAGGATACCGATAAAAGTAAAGATGAAGATAGGAGAAGAAAGATTAAGATATGTAAGTGTAATTAAAGAGGAACTGATATAGAGAGAGACACAGAGACTCAATCTGGGAACTATTTTGGGATTTGAGAGATTTTCGGGATTCTCTGGACTTATCGATCAAATAATCGATATTTTTATCGATACTGTTCAGTGTTGCCATTTTAGTCGTTTTCCGGCTAGATTTAGCCTGTTGCGGTAGCAAACAGCCGGAGAAATTTCGATTTAGCAGGCAGCCCATTTGTTAGCCGTTTTGCAGAAAAAAATTAGCCGTTTTTAGCCGATTTTGCTATTTGCCTTGTTTTCTTAAATTTCAAATATGTATATTTGTTTCCATTTTTGACTAAGTGACCCCAAATCTGTTAGAAATGGTTACTAGCCTTATCGTGGAGAAAATTTTCATGTAGGGCAGGGTTGTATGAAATTGGGCCGATTTCGCTTATTTTTATTTTAAACGAATAAGGGATTTTCTTCATAAAATGTTTGTTATAAATGTCTTAATTTTAAGTGTGAAGTTTTATTCGCAAACTTAGAAAATAAGAAATTGTTTCACTGTTAAGACACTTAAGATGCGTTTGTGTTTGGATATAGTGCCAACAAACAGAATAAATATTACATGTAGATATTTAGGGAGTTCACAAGTCGTGCTATTTGTCATATTTGCTCTTTTGTACTATTTTTTTAGAACAGTTGTAAAATGAAACTTGTGAGCATCCCATACTTTTTCGTGTGCTATTGTACAATATTTTAACAATTATATTTGACAAAATCAAAATTATTAAAACAGCTTTAGAAAGTTTATAATGCCCAGAAGAAGCGAGAAAAGCAAATTAATTGCTGCGATTTGCGAGAAGTACGCGCAGGACGCAATGATGGAAGGAAGTGAGTCGTCAAATAAGTCATTTATGAGTTTTTTTGAATTTATTTGGTGCATTTTTGTTAGGCGATGAAGATGAGGGGGAAGAGATCGATGAAGCTTTTAGGTTGAATATGCTTGTGTTGTTGAACGCACCAGCTTTCACTGAATTTCTAGTTTTTTTTCTACACAGAAACGCGTATAAAAAGNCAATGATGGAAGGAAGTGAGTCGTCAAATAAGTCATTTATGAGTTTTTTTGAATTTATTTGGTGCATTTTTGTTAGGCGATGAAGATGAGGGGGAAGAGATCGATGAAGCTTTTAGGTTGAATATGCTTGTGTTGTTGAACGCACCAGCTTCCACTGAATTTCTAGTTTTTTTTCTACACAGAAACGCGTATAAAAAGCCTGGGCGGACGGCTTCTGCAAATATGTACTTATATTTCCAAATTATATTTATACATATGTGTTTAAGGAAAAAACCTCAAATAGGCGGTTTTCTAAAAGAAAATCAATTAGGGACTTCTCTTCCGACACTGTCCACATATGGTTTGGTTTTCCCCGGGCACGCTTAGCTTTGCACTGAATAAATAAAGATCTTTAATAAGTTAAATATGTTATAAATTAAAGATAACTTACTCCATTGCCATGAGATGACTCCATTTTTTTATTTAAAATTTGAATATTTTATTGTACTCAGACAAGGAAAAATGTAAATAAATAGAAATGTCTGATCCAATAGCACTCACAAATAGCAAAGTAAACATATTTTTCAAAGTTGTATTGTAATACAACAATTTTACTTGTAAAGCAAAAACAACACTTTTAAAACTGTTCTAAAAAAATAGTATAAAAGAGCAAATATGACAAATAGCACGACTTGTGAACTCCCTAATTGTCTTCCCAGATAGCGCATATTCAATTCTGCCTAAATTACAAGACATCATTTTTGCCCACTCCCAAAGGTTTAAGGTAAGGGAAAAATTGATATTTTCAAGCACTATGTACACATATGTATTTTTTTAAACAAACTTTTTTGCTGAGAACTTATTTAAATTCCAAAACCCGAATGCCAACTTGAACTAAAGGAACCAACACTGAAGTGAGTCAAGATGAAAATAAAAGAGCACAAATTTCTATGTAAAACAAAACTCTCTGG